CATGCACGAAGCCCTTGATTCCATTCCTCAGTACCACATAAACAATAAATAAAATAAATATGATTAAAAGAGAAAAAAATATTTTAAAAAATTGCAATGTTCCTTCAATTCACCAGATAAGTGTCGCATTTTATTAACTATCTTATTTTCTTTTAAAACCTAATACATTAAATGGAAGCTCATTAAGTATTTTAAGGAACTTACTTTGTGTGTGTGTATTTAAGAAGTAAAACAATGTTTTCCCTAACATGCAAAGTACTTTGTTCTATCCCTTAAATGTCCATCTCTGACTCACACTGATGAGGAAAAAATAAGGGTGACAAATGGCAGTGCAATAAGACAGCTAATAAGAAATATATCCTTTGGTCTCAATTTAACAAACCCAAGTTAAAAAAAAAAAAAGAAATGAAATGAACGTTTCCCTAAATCTTTTAGCAGGAAGTGGCACTGTAGCTCAAGCGGTAGAGCGCTCACATTGAGCTGAAGAGCAAAGGGACAGCGCCCAGGCCCAGAGTTCAAGCACCAGGACCGACAAAAACAAAACTAAACAAAACAAAAACAACTAAATCTTTTAGCAAAGAGGAGTGTAAGATAAAGAAAAAATTTCCACAAAATTATATAAAAGTGATCTAGTGATGATGAAATGAATCATTTTCCACATGTGAAGTCATTATGTAGGACGTAGCTTTGTAAATGGCTGGGATGTTTGCATAACACATTAATTTACAAAATGTTCATATTACTCAATTCTCATTATTCAGTTATTCAATTGTGTTCCCTTAATATTATGGAATGAATAATATCTGAGGAAAACATTTTCAAAAAGATGGACTAACTGTTAAAACAGTCAGAAATTAACTTGTTTTAACCATTCCACAATGTATGCATATATAAAACCCTGACAGTTTCATGGTAAATACCGGTTTATTTCTCAGTATACTTGAATAACTAGAGAAAATTTTAAATAAAAAATTTCATTTAAGCATATATTATAGAGATAGTAATATAGGTCTTAAACTTCAGAATTTAAGTACAACCTCAAATGAAAGAAATAACATCTAATTATCAGGAATGTTTCTAAATATTATTAGGCTTTATTTTTTTTTCAGTCGGTCATGGGGCTTGAACTATGGGCCTGGAGCTCAAGGCGAGCACTCTACCACTTGAGCCACAAGACTACTTCTGGGATCTCTGGTGGTTAATTGGAGATGAAGTCTCACAGCCTTTCCTGCCAAAGCTGACTTGGAACTATGATCCTCAGATCTCAGCCTCCTGAGTAATTAATATTACAGGTATGAGCCACTGGTACCCAGCAGGCTTTACTTTTAAAGTCCATCAAATTAAATCATATTGTTTGAAGGACTAGTGTAAGAAATAATGGGCAATTTGGAAGAAAATTGTCCATGTTCAATATGTAATACATGGCAGGTTCAAATCTAGTTTTAAGAGAGAGGATGATATAAAATATAGTTTCTTCCACTAAGAGAACCACAATTTACTAAGAGAGAAAGACATTTTTAATATATTACATAAAGTATAACAGCATAGGAGCAACATACAATGAAAGAATGGCAGAGAACAACATACCAAACTGAGAAATGAAAAGCCAAAGCGGTATTATTGAGGTTGAGTCCACAACAATTAATAAAAACCTTGCTACATAAAGTGGGAAAGCAACGTGTGGAAATACTTGGATACAAGAAAAGAAATATAGATTAGCCCACACCTCCAACTATTTGGTTTGAGTACAGAACACTGGGGAGATTTAGTCCTCAACTATTTACACCATACTAAAAGATTCAACTCTCCGCCCAATCAATGATATCCTTGTGGGTTGTTTATTTGGTTTGGGATTTTGTTTTTCTATTTTTATTTTGCTTTTTGTCATTTGGGGGACTTGAACTAGATGCCAGGGTGCTGTCTCTGAGCTCTTTTTGCTCAAGGCGACAATCTACCACTTTGAATCACAGCTCCTCTTCAAGTTTCCTGGTGGTTAATTGGAGATAAGAGTCCCACAGATTTTCCTGCCCATGCTAGCTTTGAGATCCTCAGATCTCAATCTCCTGAGTAGCTGGGCTTACAGGTATGAGTCACCAGAATCCAGCCAGCCAACCCTTGCATTTTAACTGAGAAAGAAACATGAACAGACACATAAAAGCAGTATAATGTAGGTGGCAATGTTGCTGCAGAACTGGATGGAGAATGTAAGTAGAGAGATCACCTGGGACAACACAGCAATTTACCTGTATCCTCACATTGAGGAGGACTTGGATCCCACTACGGGAGGCAATGGGTCAGTAGACTCATGGACACTCTGGGTTGGGATATTTCTCTCACAATATGTTATGTGGTATTGTTAGTATCCTTTCAATTCCTTAACACCTCTAGCCTTACTAGAGTAATCGTGAATTTGATTATATGTTTGTTTCTTTTTGAGAAGCTAATTTCTTCAACTATATCACTTTTGTGGGTCCGCAATAGCAAATATAATACATGGACCTGAAAAAAAAAATCTCATTAAGTTGAACAAATGCTTACTGATACATTTAAGTGTATCAATTTGGTGAAGCTATAATGCCCAACTAATGACTAAAATACTAGTTTTGCCAGGAGGGTTTCTTACAGATATGGCTAACAGTTACAGTCAGATAACTTTAAATAAAAGAATTACTTCAATTATTACCTTTGTTACTAAGGCACAAATGAAATGAGCCTTATACAATCATTTGAGAAAAACAAAAAGGCCTTAGTACCAACTGTATCAGGAAAAAGACAATCTCCCTTGAGACTAAACAGCTTCTATATCCTACAGACTTCACACTTGTCAGGTATAAGCTAAGTCATTGAATGAAGTACATGTATGTGTTCTTTTAGTTTTTGTACTTGTATACATTTATGTTGTTTTTATTAGAAGAATGGAATCAGTTTTTCAAACTTAGCTGAGCTTCACTTGTCAAAAGAAAGACTACAAAGAGAAAGAAATTGTTCAGGTACAAATAATGACTAGATGTGTTGAAATTCAGCAGCAAAGAAAAATTCAGCAGAGAGAGAGAGGGAGCAGATAGAAATATGATGCTTAAGGTCCTAAGAGAAAATGATGCAGTGAAAATATATTATTTAGCCACAGTATAGTTTCTGGTTGTCTAAAAAACACACATAACATTTAGAGTGAGTTTGAAATTTACACTCTACAGCTCATGTATACAAAAGAAATACCTAGCTCTAGTTATTGTCTGAACAGAACTTAACCTTCAAGCTTATTCCAATCCAAATAAAATTTCTGTCTTAAAGATATCTCAGTGAGTAAATATCACTCAAGGATTCAAAACCTCCCATCAGGGTTGTTTCTTTCCCTTCGCTGGAGCTCTGGATAAAAGGTGAAAATTTGAACATTACCATGACAACAAGCTGCAGGAAAAGAGAGGATGGTTCTGTGGTCCACAAGCTGATTACTGCATGTCTTCTTCCTGCTTATCTTATACTCTGGGTAAGCCAGATCTATGGAAATATATCTGAGAGATATATCTACAATGGAATATGAAACAAATCATTTCGTAGCTGCATGCTTTTGCACTGATTTTATCTGACTCATCTCTACACAATGGAGTTCTTTCCAATGTTCTTGGGTAAAAAGAAAGCCAGAAAGATGTTGGTTCCCTTCCCAAAGGCATCTAAGTAATAAATAGCCTTGCCTGATAGCAAACTTCCTGGCTTTGAACAGATAACACCATTGTCTTTTCCAGAAAAATCACATCCTAATGCACAAGTTTCTGAGAGATATTTGCTCAGCCAATTCTTCATAAAAATACTTTAGATTTAGGTAATGGACTACTTAAATATTTATCCATGGGCTCTATCATTCCTCATATATAATGGTGAGGAGAAATCTTACCAGAGAAATTTTATAGGCCTAAGCCAAAACATGATATTTCCAGAAGACAAATGCAATAATAAATCATCTGAAGTATTCATTGTAAGACTATGCCCAACTGGTTTAAATGGCAGGTGCAAACTTTAATATCCTCATTGTCTACGTAGATAACACAAGGCATTTTATAATAATATACTTACTTTCTCTTTGACTCTCTAGCTTTTTCATAAACTCAGCTGAGATTCTTTTGAATGGCAACCAAACATCAGCAAGCCATATAACAGACATCAGTGACATTTGACACTAAAGCGTTACCTCAAAGCAGTCTCTAGAGTTGTTTTCTTAACTCCAAATGAAGTATATCAGCTGATAGTCAACTGACACCTACAAAGGAAAGCAAGAAAATATCACAGAACCCAATGCAATGGGGAACTTTTCCAGGGAATAGGATTCCTGCGCATTAAAAAAAATTAACCTTAGCAAAATTTTAGTGGGCTTGTTTCTGCTGACTTATAAGAGTATACAGTTCATCAGCACTCTGAAATGCTAGGATAACAGGTATGAATCACCTCATTCAGCTTATTGGTTGAGATAGAGTCTCACAAACTATTTTTTATACTGGATGGCTCCAAACATGATTTTCTCAGTTTGTGCCTTCAAAGTAGCCATAATTAGAAGGCTTTGCTATCATGCCTTCCGAAGTTGAGATTTTTTGAGCAGATATAGTAATAAATAAATAAATGAATGAATTTTTCAGTATTACATACTTATTTGCAACTCACCAAAACCAGAATGGTGTCTGTCCACCCCTGGGACTATTGCTGTTATGCCTAGTTAGATATGACAATAAAACCTTTCATCACAATCATGAATTTTAGCTTTATGTTTATTGAGTTTTAAAGATAACAAGGGGATGGCCCCCATCATAATGAAACAGCGTAAGTAAAAGTTTCATGTCACAAAACAGAGCTAGGAAAATGTCAGACAATCCACAGAGCTAGATTTGCATGTAGAAAAGCTTTCTGAACGTGTTGCTTTACTGTTAGAACACTAAGCACTGAATCAATCCTACAATTTTTCAGAGATGGTACATGGTGTCAAGCCAAGATGGAAAGGAGGAGGAGGCAAGGCCTCTGAAAGCTGCTACACTACAACTCTACCAACAGGTAGACATGAATAGTCTACAATGTCTACAGCCTCAGGTGCTTACTAGAGAGAGAAACATTGAGTTTGATTCATTAGTGCTGAAGGAGGAGGAATAGGAGAGAGATGACTGTGTTAGCTGATTGCTTTCCACTCTCTGTGGAAGCGTAGAACGTTCTTGATTTCCACACCAGCCTCTGTCGCGATCCCCAGCACCAACTGCAGAGGATATGAGAAATTCCTAGGGTTGTCCAAACTGGTGCCAGTGATGATAGTTACCATGCTGCTGGGATCCGGTGTCCCTGGCCTGGAAGCCTCCAAAAGACCTTTACAAAAGTCAAGAATATTATAAAGGTCCCAAGCATCAGAGTCTGACCTGGTCATTCTGGGCCTCATCAGCCTCTTAGACACAAAGGACTGGCAAAGAATATACTGGTTCCCTCTCTTCAATTCATCCTCTAGGAAGGTGATGGCTGTCAAGGCCCTGTGGTCTTCTCTCCTCAGGATGTATAGTGTGTCAACCACAATCTTGGGCAAGATGAGGAAGAACTTACCACTGGTGGTGAGTTGCTGGATGATGGGAAGATGCTCACACAAAGCCCTGGGATCAGGGAACAGGTAAGGGGTCAAAGCTGAGCGAGTCTGGGGACCCCGGAGGGTCTTTTCTAACAGTGCTACTTCACGCTGAAGCCAGAGCTGAACAATATCTTTGGAAAATCTGATCCTTTCACCTCTAGGAAGCGGATGAGATGGGTTTTCTGACCTTTCGGGTGTACTGCTCACAAAGACACCCACCTTAGAGTCGAACGTCAGGAACTGTCCGGGGAGTCTAGTCACAAAATGGCCAAAACTTCTGAGGAAACAGATGCGCACAGCGGTTTCATCCTGGTAGCTGAGTGGAGGTGAGTCTTGCTTGAAGCCCACCATTTCCTGAAAAGCCTGTGGTGGAGAGTGCTGGAACAGAGCAAGGTCCTCAGGAAGCTGCAGGAAACCGGCAGGATGGGGATCTTTGCAGCTCTGCAGCAGTTCGTGAAGATGTGGGGAGAGACCCAGGCCTGGTTGCTGAAGGTCTCCCTCAGAGGGTAACAGGTTCAGCAGTACACACAGGTGGTCCCACAGGCTAAGGGAACTCCGCCAGTGGGAGGAGAGGAAACTGTGGTTGGTGTGGAGCCAGCCCAGGATCACCTTGATGGTGGGGAGTAACCCTTCTGCGGAGAGGATCTTCAGCTTCTTTTGAATGGTCTGCAGATGGTTGTGAGACCTGCCAATGCAGATACTCTGCTCCAAGAAGGAACTACTGTCAGCATCTGCTTCAGGAAAGTGATCCCTAGCGGCCCGGGTGCGCAGCTCAGACGCAGGTGTCAGAACACTGTGACTGAAGACAGGAACCAAGTGTGAGCCATATCTTCCTTGAAGCTTTTGGCTCAGTGGAGCCGGCAGATTAGAAGAAATGGTGGTTTTCAGGAGTTCTAGAAGACTGTTGGGAGATTTAGATGGCCTCCATATATTCCTGGAGTGGTTGGCTTTCGAATTGGATGTGGCCTCACTTTCCCACCCTACTTCTGGGCCTAGGGACCCATCAGGCTCTTCATCACTTGTATCTGAGTAAGAAGTTTCGCTGCTCGTTTCTGAATGGAACTGTGAAATTAAGTTCTCCTCTTCCTCTGTGTCATCTGAGTCACAGCAGGAATAAACACCAGCGTCTGAAATGCAATCCACACTAGAGCCACCGGAAGAGCTGTGGCTCTTCTGGGATTTGCTGTGGTGGGGGGGCCTGGGAGCTGGAAAGATTTTTTGTCTTTCTCCAGTCTCCGTCTTACAGCTGCCATTGCTGCGGGCAGCCACTTCGGGAGTCAGCTTCACTTTCTGCAGCTCGGCCTGGATTCGCACGTTCACATGTTGAATTAGGTGCGAGAAAAGGGTCAAGGTGAAGATGACTGCAGGTTTTTGCTGCTTGGAGCCTGTCTTCCTCAGGCTGTGCACGTTCATGAGGCAAAGAACCACCATGTGGAAGATGAGGAGGTCTGGGAGAAACAGATAGCCTCTCGGGGGTTTGGTATCTGTGGACGCCTGGCCCAGATCCGAAGGACATGGCCGGTAAGAAAGACAGAGACGGAAATCTTCCAGAACCAACTGGCACAGGGCTATCAACCTGGCCGCTTTGAACTTCCTCTGGGGCTGCAGGAGACTCTGAAGGTAGAGAAAGCTAACGAGTAGCCGCTTGTTATCCCAACACTTTCTCTGGCTACGAGAGAGTTTCTTCCCCTGGTACCTTTTCAGCGAGCTGTACTTTTTTCCTGCACGATCATAGAGTCGTTTGAGGTTCCAGGCTGCCCCTTTGAAAGGCACTTCTGAGTGGAGGCAGCGCTGGTAAAAGTAGGTGGCCGCCACATCGTAGTATTTGGTCCCCATGAGAGCTCCCAACTGATTGAAGGGCATTCCCAGGTGCGGGGCCACCGACAGGGCTCTGTAATAGCATCGCTCAGCCAAGTGCTTGGTACCCAAGTCCAGGAACTCGTTCTGATAGCGGAACAAGTCTCCCAGGTAGAGCAGGCAGCGGTGGCAAGCCAGGCGAGCCCAGGCAGCCTCTTCCTTGGAGGTGGGCCCCACTCTCTTAGAGCCAATCGAGTGCACCACACTGTGCGGCCAGTCTATGTAGCTCTGTAACCTCAGCTCATAATGGCCCTGAAGGAACAGGAAGAGATGCTCATAGAACTGGAGGCCCCCCTTCAGGTGAGCCCGCAAGGGGCCTTCCCAGTATGGGGACGTTTCCGTATGCTTTCTGTTGGTCTCCATGAACAGCATGACAACATCAGAGTACATTTTCCTCCACAGCAGCTCCTCCGCCTTCCTCCCATAAGCCACCGGGTACAAAAACATGAGTTTAATGCAGGCTTGGTGAACCATACCCCTGAGAGCCAGGATGTGGGGCTTGAACACCTCCCTGTGGGCATTTCCATGTCGTAGGAATAAGTCGAGGCGCTGAGCGGCCAAGCAAACGTCCTGGTAGAGGAGTTTGGCCTTCAGAGCTTCTGTCTGGCTTCTCTCCATAGGGATGAACTCTTTCCCAGCGATATCTATGTGCCGCTTCTGAGGAAAGATGAAAACTACCTATTAGTACTCAACCATAAAGATGGAGAATTATTTTAAAATACCAGAACAACACACTGGGGATGTATACAACACTTTAGTAGAGCAGGTAAATCCTGCTTATCCTTCAGAACTCAGCTTAAATACGATTTCTTCTAGAAAACCCACACTAATTCTGAAAGATTGACTAGATACTTCTCCTTCACACTGCCTGGCGTCCTTTGAGACTCAAAACGACTGTTTTGGAGTTTTCTTGATTTTGTTTCTCCTATCACTATAACTACTATAACCACTTATCAGTCTTTCTCCCAAGTCAGACTATAAAGTTCGCTGAAGACGGTATGAGGCAGGCAGCTCCCTATTACTTCCAATAATTAACAATACCTGGCTCAAATGAAGGCCCAATAAAATTATTACAAATGTCAATTGGATAATCATAACATGTAAAATCCCTCTGTTTTACTGTTTAAAACCCTTGTCAAAAGTTAAATTGTATCAGGTTTCCACTAACTGTGACATAAAAGGGAAAAGAAGATTCTTATGCCAATTTAACTTTAATCAAGACCTTGAGTCGTTTGGAGAATTAAATTTAGAACATGGCTGTGCAAGCATGTTACAGTAATACCTTAATGCAAAATTACACAATTTATTAACTCTGAGTGGAATTTGCCTTTAAAGTTTCAAGACAGAAGGAAAAGGGATATGTTTTATAAGTATGGCATATAAAATTTCAAAGATACTGTGAAGGAAAATGTACTTTAACATTAGCATGCTGCTCAAAAGACCAACAGAAAATACATATACATTTTCAAACCTCATGGTTTGAAAAGAATGTGATGTACAATGGGATGTATAACTCCATAATAAAGCACATAGAGAGCATGCTTTAGGTCCTGAACCCAATTTCTTTTTTTTCTTTTTTTTCATATATATTTTTTTATTTATTGTGAAAATACCATACAGAAGGGTTACAAATACATGGGCAAGGTAATGAGTGCATTTCTTATCAAGCATTGTTGTCTCCTCCTTTGTTTCCCCTTCCCATCCCTTCCCATCTTCCCCTCCACCCCCCTCACCCCCACCCACGCCAAAGTTGTAAAGGTCATTTTTGACATAACATCTTGTACATCTCATTGGTGCAATGGGTCCACCTATATCCCTATTTAAACAATTTGTTTTTTCCCTTCCCCTCCACAAATTATACCAACATCAAATACAGTGAAAACAGGGGTTATACCATGGGGGAGGGACATACAAAGCAACAAAGAGATATCTTATAAATATGTTAGACACAATAGCAAGAAAGAAAAATCATTTGACTCCTTAACTTGGTGTTCATTTCACTTAACATCAACTTATCTGCCCATATCTGCTTGTCTCAGGCATATACTAGTAATTGCAAATAAGGGAAACCATGGGACCTATGTTTCTTTGGGCCTGGCTTACTTCACTTAATATAATTTTTTCCAAGTCTTTCCATTTCCTAACAAATGGAGCAATGTCATTTTTTCTGATGGAGGCATAGAATTGCATTGTGTATATATACCACATTTTCTTGATCCATTCATCTACTGAGGGGCATCTGGGTTGGTTCCATAACTTAGCTATGGTAAATAATGCTGTAAAAAACATAGTTGTGCTGGTAGCTTTAGTATGATCTTGTTTGTGATCCTTTGGGTAAATACCCAAAAGGGGGATTTCTGGGTTGTAGGGAAGCTCTATGTGGAGTCTTTTGAGGAACCTCCATACTACTTTCCAAAGTGGTTGAACAAGTTTACACTCCCACCAATAATGCAGTAGGGTTCCCTTCTGTCCATATCCCCTCCAGCATCTGTTGTTATTAGAGTTCTTGATTATAGCCATTTTAACTGGAATGAGGTGGTATCTCAATGTTGTTTTGATTTGCATTTCTTTTATGGCTATGGTGGTTGAGCATTTCTATTTTTTATTTTATTTTATTTTATTTTTTGGTCGTGGGGCCTGAACTCTGGGCCTGGGCGCTGTCCCTCAGCTCTTCAGCTCAAGGTTAGCGCTCTACCACTCGAGCCACAGCGCCACTTCCGGCTTTTTTTTGCTTATGTGGTGCTGAGGAATCAACCCAGGGCCTCATGCATACAAGGCAAGCACTCTACCGCTGAGCCACCTTCCCAGCCCCTGGTTGAGCATTTCTGCATGTGTCTATTGGCCATCCTTCTTTCCTCTTCAGAGAAGTTTCTCTTTAAGTCTTTAGCCTACTTATTTATTGGGCAGTTGTTTCTTTGAAGATTTGTTGTTGGGGGATTTAATTTTTTGAGTTCCAGGTATATTTTAGATATGAAACCCTTGTCCACTGTATGGCTAGTGAAGATCTTCTCCCAATCCATGGGCTTTCTATTGCTCTTGCTAGCTATGTCCTTTGCCATGCAGAAGCTCTGCAATTTCATGCAATCCCGTTTGTCCATCCTTTCTTTGGTTTGTTATGTTCCTGAACCCAATAACCAAAAAAGAAGAAGAAAAGGAATCATGATATGCCTCCATCAGAAAGAATGACATTGCCCCATTTGTTAGGAAATGGAAAGACTTGGGGAAAATTATATTAAGTGAAGTAAGCCAGGCCCAAAGAAACATCAAATCCATTAATGATATATAAAACAATACCAGTTCTCACTAGAGTAACTGTATGCCAAGATAGCTTCTTACAATGAACATAAGGAAGTGAAAGCCCTACCTATAGACTGTCTAATTTAGGTCAGGTAATCATGGAAACAAAAAATATTAGAATTACTTATTTTATAATTATACACATTGAAGGAAAACATAATAGATAGCAGAGTTCTTTTCCACCATAAAATTATTTACACCCATTTATTTAGCTAGAAACACTAGCTTGAGATATACTGGTATATTCCATTTGTAATAATTTTTCTACAGCAAACAATGTTGTATGTCTAGAGAATGTTGAAGAAAATAGTTGTGTACATATTTTCTGTCCTTTTGAGTCTTAGTCACTAAGAGTTCCAAGTACTTTGGGAGAATCTAACTAGTATATGTCTGAGACAAACAGAAACTGTCAGACAAGTTGATATTAGGCTAAATGAACCCCACGATAAGGGTTCAAATGTTTTTTTTCTTTCTTGCAATTGTTTCCAACATATTTATAAGATGATCTTTTTGTTGCCTTGCATGTACCTCCCCCAGGGTATAACCCCTGCTTTCACCGTATTAGATGTTGGTATCTTTTGTGGAGGGGAAGGGAAAAAAACAAGCTGTTTAAATAAGGTTACAGGTATACCCATTACAGCAATGAGATGTACAAGACGTTATGTCTAAAAACGAACTTTACAACTTTGGCGAGGTGGGGGGAATGAGGGAGGTGGAGTAGGGTGGGGGTGGAGAGGGGAAGAGATGGTATGGGGAAACAAAGAAGAGGCAACAATGCTTGATAAGAAATGTACTCACTATCTTGGCCATGTAATTGTAATACCTCTGTATGGTATTTTCACAATAATAAAAAAGAAAAGAAAAGTAATGTACTCATTATCTTGCCCATGTAATCATAACCCCTCTACATGGTATTTTCACAATAGAATGTAAAAAAAGAAAAGAAAAGAAATCATGGAAGGAAGAGAGAAATAAAGAAGGATAGGGGGGTAAGAATTGGAAAAGACGGGGGAAGAAGAAACAAAGAGGAAAGAAAGAGGAAGGAAGGAAATAAAGAAGGAAGGAAGGAGGAAAGAAAGGAAGGAGGGAGGGAGGTAAGGAAGGAGGGAAAACTTGAAATAACAATAAATCATATCAAATCATAGAATAGATTTTAAATTACAAAAATCTGATGCTCAAACCCCTGGTAAAATTTAGCCGGCATCATTACAAGCCTAATTTGTTTGTTGATTTTCTTTTCATTTAAAAAGTCATTTATGTTCATGTTCTTTCACCTAGAACTCTACTTATAAGATTGAATTCAAAGAAATACACTTAATAAAAGCCTGTGATTCATGTCCATAACACTACCTACTCAGGAGGCTGAGAGGTGAGGATTGAGGTACAAGCTAGCTGGAGATAATTATCAGTGAGACTCATCTCTAATTAATCAGCAAAGAACCACAAATGAAAGTGTGGCTCAAGTAGTACAGTAGAATCCATTAGCATAAAAGCCAAGGGAGAACAAGAGGTCCATAATTCAAGCTCCAATACCAGCCTATTAATGAGTCTAGTAAAGCATATAGAAGGACTTGTGGTGAGTGTGAAAGTTGAGGATAAAGAAGGATGTAGTTTGAATAAGAGAAAGAAAAGGAGTGGTGTACAAGGGCAAGGAGAGTAGTCAGACATTGAACTTGCAACAGCAATGTCAGAGTTGTAGACATGTTCACAGCAGCATAGAGAAGGACTTCACTGGACAGATAAATAAATGGTGAGCTTGGGGTTTCTTACTTCTGAGAAGCTAGTTGAGGAAGGTAAAGAACCTACCAAATACATATCTTTCCCTATCTGCTAACTCTGCCAATTGACTTCAGATGTCCATACTGACAGTCTTTCCTTAGGTGTTATAAAGATCACAGGCCTAGGTTTAAGCAGGAAACAATAGGGATAGAGTCCTCCTCCTGTCTCCATGACCAAGTTAGCCAGCACTGATACAAGAATCAGAAAGTAGAACAGTTTTATAATTCTCCTAATCCTGTGCTGTGATGGAACTTCAATATAAACACACTTGTGTTACACCAATCATAGGGGCACTGGGTATTCTAGAAAGAAAGCTAGATCTGATAGGGCTTTAAGATTCTAGGCACTGATGGCTCACTCCTGTAATGCTGGCTACTCGGAAGACTGAGAAGTGAGAATCCAGGTTCAAAGCCAATCCAAGCAGAAAAGTACATTAGATTTTAATGTACAAAAAACAACCAAAAATTCAGAAGTGGATATCTGGTTCTAAGTGGTAAAGTGCTAGCCTTGAGCAAAAGAACTCTGAGACAGCACCCAGGCCC